AAAAAAAAAAAAAAATTAAAAAAATTGAAATTATGAAGTTTCAAGTTTATTAATTAATTTATTTTTTTGGAGACAGAGTCTAACTTTGTCACACTCAGTACTGTGCTGTGGTGTCACAGTTCACAGGAACATCAGTCTCTTGGAATCAAGAGATTCTCCTGCCTCAGCCTCCCCAATAACTGGGACTACAGGTGTCCACACAACACCAAGCTATTTTGTTGTTGGTTTGTTTGTTTTGTTTAGGCTCTGGCCTGCTTCCAACCCATTAGCCCTGGTGTTTGTGGCTGCCGCCCTAACCACTGATCTACAGATGCCCAGCCTGCTCTGAAATTTTAATTTTAAATAGTAAATGATTGTAAATTGCACACGAACTTTATGTCCACTCTGTATAACTTTTCACCATAAAATATATATAAATAGTTGTTAACGTATTGTTTCCATGAGTGCAAAACATATAGAAACACATATGTATATACATATAACTGAAATTAATAAAAGGATATAATTTATATTCAGCGCTAAATACAAATATACCTCAGGCAGAGCTGCATGCCAGAGAAGGCAGAAAGCCTTGTGTAAAAAGAGCTACAGAGTTTGTTAGGAAAAGTTCACGTTGCAGCTCAGCCCTTCCCCTAAGAGTTGTACCACATAGTCCTTTGTATTGCCTGTTAGTTGGGAGCTTAAACACCACCTCCTGCATGAAGCCTGGTGCAGTGCCACTCCCTCGAAGACCAGAGGTAATTTCACCCTTCTCTGAACTGCCATAGATAGCCAGCCTTTCCTTTAACTCCCAATGGCCTTCATCTGTCTATAAGGTTCCTGAGTCCTTTATGTGCATGTTTTTACCCAGACATCAGGATGTATATTGAAAACACCTTCACAGCAGAGTCTAACTCCTATTTAAATAATAAATAGAGTTTCATTCCTTTCATCGAAATTTGTTAAACAGTTACTGTATGGCATGCACAGTGGCCCTGGAATATGGAGATAAGAAAGTCATGATCCCTGCTCTTAATTTATTAATTTATTTTATTATTTATTTATTTATTTGGTTGAGACAGAGCCTCAAGCTGTCGCCCTGGGTAGAATGCAGTGACATCACAACTCACAGCAACCTCCAACTCATGGGCTTAAGCTATTCTCTTGTCTCCCCCTCCCAAGTAGCTGGGACTACAGCCTGCCCTTGATTTAAAAGAAAAAAAATAGTGTTGTGGTAAGAAACTGTTTGCATTCTGGCCTTTTTCAGCGTCTTGTTGGATGGCATTCCTGTGGCTCAAGGTCAAAGAGGTGGGGTCTTAAGCCCTATCCAATCAGGGATGCGCCCATATGAACTGTCCAATCAGATGCACAGCCAGAAAGAAGAAGGCGGCACCCGGGATTCCGAGCTTGTCTCCTGAGCTGGTCTGCGACCTGGGGCCTTCTCTTCAGATATTTCATTTCTGGAGGGACCAGTTGTCTCTGCAGCAGCCTCTGTCACCCTGTGCCCTTGAAGGTACTGGGAGATCTGTAAGGAGGACACTGGGACTTCGCGGGAGCTGGGAAATGGTGAGTACCGGAGACCTGGTGTCCTGAGAGGAGGAGGGGCGTGGTTGGAGCCCGAAGTGGCTGTGGCGGGACCGGGCCATTTCCCTTCGATTTTAGAGTCTTCAGACTAAAGTTTGCTACCGACACCCCTTGGCCCAGGGAGCCCACTTGGCAAAAGGGGCAGGGAGTTGGGACCCTGTTGCTCCAAGCGTTCCTGAACCTGTTACGGGGACCACGGCCCAGAGCCCTCTGAGCAGCCTTGTGCCTGCAGCCCCGGCGTCCCTCCCTCGGGTGACAGTAGAAGGGTCCTCAGGGGAGAATCCCAGCTGAGTGTGTGGGGTTTGTTCATGGAGGGGCTGTAGTCTGTGGGGCCCTCAACCCCTCCATTCTTTTGTTAAACCACTGAGGTCCCCACGCGATGGCCCACTCTGTTGCCTGTCGTTGTAGTTAAACACGGAGACAGGGAGTTGATGGGTAAAAAGGCTTTATTATGGGACAGGCTAGTAATTCCTGAGAACAGCGAGAGTAATTTTTTAAATGCTGTTTTTTTTTTTTTTCGAGACAGAGCCTCAAGCTGTCCCCCGGCATCACAGCTCACAGCAACCTCCAAGTCCTGGGCTCAAGTGAGTCTCCTGACTCCGCCTCCCGAGAAGCTGAGACCACAGGCGCCCGCTACAACTCGGGGCCTGTTTTTTTTTGGTTGCAGCCATCGTTGTTTGGATTCAAACCCGCCAGCTCAGGTGTATGTGGCTGGCACCTTAGCCTCTTGAGTCATAGGCGGCGAGCCATTAAATGGTTCATCTTACAGGAGTACATGTGAATCTTTCTAAATGTAGGATATAAATATCTTAGCACAATAACTAAGAGGATGCCATGAAGGCTATGTTAACCAGTTTGAGGAAAACATTTCAGATTGTTTATAAAACCAGCACACTGTACCCCATGACTGCATTAATGTACACAGCTATGATGTAATAAAAAAAATAAATGCTGTTTTTTATAATAAATTTTAATACTTTATATAGGGAATAATTTCACAAGTATAATAGAAATATACTTATGTGATTAACAACATGTAGGCAAATTAAATGCATCTGACAATTTATAAGTAACCAAAAATCATCATCAATAAAACATCTTTAACATGCTATTAACTTGGTCGCAGTGCCTTGTTACTTCCTTAGTTTTTTTTTTCCAAGATTATTATCTTTATTCCCTATTTCTGGTTTGGCCTTTCTGACTGACTTACTCTTCCACTCTTTCTATGTTTTAAAGTGCATTCTCAGTTCAGAAATAGCCAAGAAAGGTTATGGGCGTGTCTGTGTCTACTACATTCTCTACTTTTATGTATTACTTTCTCATCTATGAAATTGATTTAAAATGGAAATAATTTTAAATTTGTTATAGTTAGTTAAATTGACATGCGAGTTGTATTCATTAATTTTGTTTTTGAAATTTGTGAAACAAGGCTGGGCCTGGTGGCTCAGGCCTGTAATCCTAGCACTCTGGGAGGCTGAGGCAGGTGGATTGCCTGAGTTCATGAGTTTGAAACCAGCCTGAGCCAGCATGGCAGCTCCTCTCTAAAAATAAAATGAAAAAAAGAAAATAGCCGGCATTGTACTCAGAAGCTGTAGTCCCAACTACTTGGGAGTCCGAGGCAAGAGGATCACTTAAGCCCAAGAGTTTGAGGTTGCTGTGATCTATGATGCCAGAGCGCTCTACAGTGGGTGACAAAGTGAGACTCTTGTCTAAAAGAAGAAATTGGGAAACAGCCAGTATGTATTTTGAAACATATTAGGAAGCTTGTAATATATAACATAAGAATAAGGATATGGACTTAGGTAATGTTGGTAATTATGACAATACTTTAGGTAGGAAGTGTTGAGTATTCTTAAAAATCCTGTTTGTTGTTTTATTTGGAGTATGTCTTTTATACATGTTTACTTGTTTTTAATTAGTTGGGAACTGTTAGATAAATTGAGGCAGTATATAAATTTTATAGTTTTTACGTCTATGATTGTGTTTTAATAATCAGTAATGGCTGCTGGATTTTTTAGTATAGCTTCTCATACTTGTTTTAATTCAATGCTGAGAGTGTTTATGGCTTGAGAAGTTGTATTAAGGGTCTTGACGATGGCACATGCCAATGGACTGATTTTCAGATTGAGTCCAATAGCTATTGTTGGTATAACAAAAATGCTAATGTGGTGTATTTAGCAGAGCTAAAAAGGTATAGGCGACTATTATAGTTTTCAGAGTGGTTAATATCTTAAGTTACTTTAGACGGGTTGGATTTAAAGTTTTGTACCCTGGGTAGACAAAGGGTGAATCTTAGTGAACAAAGTTTCCCTGTGTTGTAGCAGGGATAGCTGAAAAAGCCTGGGTGCCAGATAATAATAACTATCTTCAGGGGAGCTTGGTGTGTCTATTGGCATGAGGTAGAAAGGCAGTTAAGTTACATTTAAGTAAGGAATTATTCAGGTCCATGTATCGGAATGGACACTTTTTAAGTTTGATATATTTATGACTAATAGTTCCAGTTTTTAGTTGTACAGCTAATATATCTTTTTTCTTGACAGTAGTGGTTGTTTTTTAACTATAAATATCTCAGTATGTGATAATTTTCTGGATATATGGTAAAAGTGTGAAATCTCTGATAAGTTCTAGTGGGAAAATGTGGATGCCCAAGATTTTCATTGTGGATGAGGTTGTGTCATTGGATAGTAGCTAAGAAGAAGAATATGTACTGTTTCACTTGTATCTGGAAGTTCCATCGGTTCTGTGTAAAATAGGATGACGTCCATGCACTTTTACAGAAGATGGCATTAACAGCCTAGAGTAATTCAAAGTTCTCACAAACAGAATAATTAGAAAAGACTTACTTTCTGGGATGGAAAAGAAAGCTATTTAAAGACACGATGAGAGATTAGAAGACATGCCAGATAGCTGTAACTGGAACTTTTCCCAAACTGGGTTTTTTTACATAGTTTTTATAAGGTTATGGTTACTTTCTCTGGCCAGTACTATCACAGCAGTGATGTTGGGCTTGCACGTGTGAATCAGCACCTGATACTAATTTGTCCTGTTGCAGTTGATGTTAATTGTATTCACTCAGTTACGGTGTTCTTGGACACATATTCCATTGTAGGGTTCAGTGTATCTTCTGTATTGTTAATAAGAACTTGGGAAGATTATCAACTAATATGAGGAAATCAAAACATTTATTGAGGAAGCACCCCTTTTCTTCTTAGATTCTCTTTCATATGCCTTTCTTGAGAAAGTAAAGTTCGTCATCTTTGTAACTGGTTCAGGAATCAACTGGGGTAAATCCGGTGTCTGCAGTTCGCTGCATGTTTGACATAATATCATCATAGGACTGAAGCATTGTCATTCCTGTTGAGCTTGTTGGAAATTAGGAAATGGAATCTTCACTCCATATCATGCGAAAAACAATCTACTTTTTTTTCATGATTTCCACTTGTACAAATTAAAACTTTAGAGTTACCATTTATCTCATCATGACATTGTCATATAAAAAACATACACAGATTATAACATATGACGTAAATAGGCACAAAATTCTACATGCCTGTATTGGTGGCCTTTTATTTCTACTGTGTCAACCCAAAATGTCTGATGTGTACACTGGTTTTGTGGATGCCATTCTTTCCCCTTTCTTCAGTGTTAGTCAACACATGAGGGAATATATCTCTTCTATACTTATTAGGTAATTGCGTTTACTCTTATAAGTCAGCAAGAGTTCTCTTCACTCACTTAACTAAAAGTGAAATTCATGGCTTGGTGCCGGTCACATACACCCAGGCTGGTGGGTTTGAACCCGGCCCAGGCCAGCTAAACAACAATGACAATGGCAACAAAAAATAGCTGGATGCTATGGAGGGCGACTGTAGTTTCTACTAGGAGACTGAGGCACGAAAATCACTTAAGCCCAAGAGTTTAAGGTTGCTGTGAGCTGTGACGTGACAGCACTTTACCCAGTGTGACAGTTTGAGACTTTGTCTCAAAAAAAAAAAAAGTGAAATTGTATATGCCCTTGTTTTCTTGGTAAATATGTTTTTTTTCAGGGACTGTTGACATTCAAGGACGTGTCTATTGAATTCTCTATGGATGAGTGGGCCTGCCTGGACCCTGCTCAGCAGCATTTGTATCGGGAAGTCATGTTAGAGACCTACAGAAACCTGGTCTTCCTGGGTGAGGACAATTTATATACACAGTTCCAGGTCTATACTAAACAATTGATATTCCCTCTTTGTAGGTTTTTTTTCAGTTTATTCATTGACTGAGTATCAGATTCTAGTTTCTATGGAAAACTTTAGGATATCTTGGTATAGAAAAGCAAAATTGGAGTTATTTTATTTTGGCATTAATCTTACCTTTTTTTTTTTTTAAATCTTTTTTTTTAATTTATTTTTAATCTTACCATTTTTTGAGCTGATTTATATCCTTCACTAGATTAATGGAAATTTCAGAAATTTCATGGACTAGATTGTTACTCAAATCTTTAAGTCTGATTTCTAGCACCAAATTTTATTTCAGTAGTTTTGGTAGTGGAGGAGTTAGGAGTGTTCCAACGTTAAATACTTTTTAAAGAATGTGAAGTTTCTGCTAGGAAATCTGTTAGGGATTATTTCAGGATCTTCTAAAATGTCCTTTTCTCTACTTCACCAAGGCATTGCATTGCCAATTGAAGAATCCCAATTTTTTTTCTACTAAAACAGGTCTTACTGTCTCTAAGCCAGACCTCATCACCTGTCTGGAGCAAAGCAAAGAACCCCGGAAGGTGAAGACACAGCAGACACTACTCAAGCACCCAGGTAGGTTGGAGTGAGTGAAACAGATAACACTGGTCAGAGGTCCAAGTTCTGGGAGGAAACCACATGATTAGGGAAGCTCAGCCTCATTGGAAGTGATTTATGAGAAGCCTGGGTTTCTTTCCCTTGTTCTTCCATCAAGGCATCTGTCTTCTTATTTTTATTATTTTTTAATTTTTATTTTCTTATTGATAAAGAGTCTCACTCTCACTAGAGTGCCATGACATGATCCTAGCTCAGAGCAACCTTAAACTACTGGTGTCAAGTGATTTTTCTATCTTAGCCCCCAAATAACTGGGACTGTAAGTTTCTCTACATTGCCTGGCTAATGTTCTTTTTATTTTTTTAGTACAGGGGAGTTCTCATACTGACTCAGGCTAGTCTCGAACTTGTCAGGTGGAGCATTCCTCCCTCCTTAGCTCCCAGAGTGCTAGGTATACAGTTGAGAGTCTCTGTGCCTGTTCTTGTTTTTAATTTCCAGAAGGACCTTACTTACAACTGATATTCCTTCTAGGTTACAGTGAGAATGAAAGAACTTCCTATGGCTTACATGTGAGTGCAGGATGTGACTGCTCTGCCATTGCTTTTAAGGACATGAAATATGTGTTTATTTTTTAGTATACCTGTGAAATTTCTTAAATTTTCTTTAGGCTGGGTGTGGTGGCTCATACCTCTAATCCTAGCTCTCTGGGACCCAAGGTGGGACTATTGCTTGAGCACAGGAGTGTGAGACCAACCTAAACAAGATTGACACTCCATCTCTACTAAAAAGAGAAAAAATATCCAGGCATTGTAGTGGTTGCATATTGTGTCACCTACTGGGGACTGGTGGTGGAGATGAAGCTGGAGAATTGCTTGAACCCAGGAGTTTGAGGTTGCTATCAGTTAAGCTAATTTTAGGACACAGTAGCCTGAACAACAGAATGAGACTGTGTCTGAATAAAAGTTTTTGTTTCTTTTCTTTTTTTTTGAGACAGAGTCTCAAGCTATCTCCCTGGATAAAGTGCGATGGCATCACAGCTCACAGCAACGTCACACCCTTGGGCTTAAGCGATTCTCTTGGCTCAGCCTCCCAAGTAGCTGGGACTACAGGCACCCGTGACAACGCCTGTCTATTTTTTTTTTTTTTTTGC